ATCTTTGCCTGACCACCTGAGCTCTCGAATTGCGCAAAGGCGAACGTTTTAAGGCTTGTTTTTGGAGTTTGGGGTTTAGGGTTAGGGTTTTAGGGTTTAGAGTTTAGGGTCACGTAATACTTCGTAAGAAGAATAAACCTTATCTCTCTTGCTCCCAAACCCAGATATCCCCAGAATCAAGAGCAAGGTTTCAGACGTGTCTAACACGGATTCATGCCTAGATGCGGCAGGGAACCGTAGAGCACAATCAGTACGAAAATGCTACTAGAATAGTACTATAATAATACTATAACCATACGAAAATGCTACTATAATAGTACGATTATGAAACTACAACAGTACTACCAGAATACTATAACAACACAACAACAATGGTACTCTACTGACTCCGTGTAGGGAACTGGGTGTGGGAAGCAACTTTCTGGACCCATTCTACAACGCAAACGAACGGAGACGGCTGACGATTAGGGTTTAGGGTTTAGGGTTTGGGGTTTAGGGATGATGTAAATCCTGCATTACCCATAATAAGGAGTATACCACAACTCCCTTAGTTTCGGGTCCTTAAGGTAATGCAGGGTTTATATCATCAACAGATACGTCATCTCAAAGCCGTGAACATGTCAAAGACTAGAGTTTAGGGTTTAGGAAACCTCAAAAAAGGGGACCTTAAACACAAACCATAAGACTGGACTCTCACAAACCCACCTCTTACAGTAAGCCAATAAGGTGAGGATATCCCACCCAAACTTAAACTTCATGCTTGGATGCTGTTTTGCTGTAAACAGCATTGGAGGGTTCAGGGTTTAGGGGTTTTGGGTTGCGGCGATCAAAACTTACTTGACAAGCATTCCAAGCGGCACTAGGTTGACCATTGGGATTGTATGGGGGCTATAGAATCTCTGAGCAACAAGCATTACTTGCTGGAGATTTGGATATCAGCTTGCACAGCACTGGCGACAGCAACGGCAACAGCACTCAAGGAAACCGAGAAGTTCCACAGGCTTCTGCGCTCCACAAGCTCTGATAATGCTGAGACAGGTACAGTGAGGGCACAGCCAGCGACCAGCTCAGGCTTACATGAATGATATGGAATTTTGATCCGCCTTACGAGACGAAGCCAGACGAGAAGAACAACGACGGTGGCTACTGAACGGCTTCCCATGTCCAATTCCTTCTACGCATTGAAGACAAGCATTGCTTCAAGGACCACCCTAAAAGTTCCGAACTTTCAATGAATGATTATTTGGTCAAATCAAAGCTCTGGGCTCTGGGCTCTGGATAGAGTAGGACGGAGCTTGGCAGTTGACGTCTGAGCATCGCACCACGTCCGCGAGGTGCTTGGCAGCTGTGTAAGCTAAAACCTGCTTCTGCCAGGGTTTTCGGGGTAGGGTCTAGGGTTCAGGGTTTAGGGTTTAGGGTTTAGGGTTTAGGGTTTAGGGTTTAGGGTTTAGGGTTTAGGGTTTAGGGTTTAGGGTTTTCGGGGTGACCTCGGGGTTCGGGGTTCTCACATGAACAGCTTCAGAACTCTACGACTCATACTACTACTACTCATACTACTACTACCTCTAGTCCTACTCGTTGTACTAGTACAACTGCCAATAATCATCAGAATACGCATATTCATGATAAACAAATAAACAAATACATAAATATATATGTATATATATATATATAATAACAACAATAATCGCAATAATAACAATAATAATCATCATCATGAAAATCATAATATAGATATATTTTAAGTATTTAGCGACGAGGACCAGGTGGCATCTGCTCCAAGTCTTCAGGAATTCGTGTATACGGTTGTAAGAGGTTTACCTTAACCTACCAAAACCCACTCTTTTGTAGGTTCTTATAATAAAGCCTAATATGGGATTTACAGGGACCCTACAAAAAGTAGGTTCTGGTAGGTTAAGGTAGGGTTTAGGGTTTAGAGGTTTGGGGTTTAGGGGATTGGGGATTTCGGGTTTAGGGGTTTGGGGGTTTCGGGTTAAGGGTTGTAAGAGGTTTAGGGTTTAGGGTTATAAGTTATAAGGTTTTGGGTTTATGGTTGACGGGTTTGGGGCTTTCGCGTTTAGGGTTGTAAGAGGTTTCGGGTTTAGGGTCATAAGGTTTTGGGTTTAGGGTTTAGGGCTTTGGGGGTTTCGGGTTTGGGGGTTTGGGGCTTCGAGTTTACGGTTATAAGGTTTTGGGTTTTAGAGGTTTGGGGTTTGGGGTTTAGGGGTTTGGGGCTCAGCGTTTAAAACCCTAAACCCCAAACGCAATTTAGGGTTTAGAGCTTTAGGGTTAGGGGTTTAAGGTTTAGGGTTGCAAGAGGTTAAAACATCCTGTAACTCATTACGGAGTATACCTTCTGACGGTTTAGGGTCTAGGGTGTACGGTGAGGGATCCTACTATAATTATGGCATATTCCTGAATAGTTGTGTATGGGTTTAGGGTTTAAGGTTCAGGGTTTAGGGTTTAGGGTTTAGGGTGGGGTGGGCATGTCTTTATATCACGCGCCAATCAGCGCGCGACCTGTCGAGCACACCCTGAACCCTAAAACCCTAAACCCTAAACCCTAAACCCCTAAACCCTAAACCCTAAACCCTAAACCCTAAACCCTAACCTTACTTGCTAAGTCCCATGATCCTTCAAGCAGCCTGGGTCATCTGTGGCTGGCTTGAGAAGGATCTGAGTTCGACAAAGACAGATGCGAGGTTAGCGTTTAGGGCTTTAAGTTTCACCCTAAACCCTAAACCCTGAACCCCTAAACCCAAAGCCCTAAACCCCAAACCCCGAACCCTAAGCCCTAAACCCTAAACCCTAAACCCCGAACCCCGAACCCTAAACCCTAAACCCCAAACCCTAAGCCCTAAGCCCCAAACCCAAAGCCCCAAACCCCGAACACTGAGCCCTAAACCCTAAACCCCAAGCCCTAAGCCCCCAACCCGAAACCCAAAGCCCGAAACCCTAGCCGTGTCTGAGATTCCTCAGCACAATGTCTGCCTAAACTAAAGGAAAGTACAGGTGGGGAGTTTAGGGTATACAGGGTTTAGGGTTTAGGGCTTTAGGGTTTTAGGGTTTTAGGGTTTAGTTTTTTTTTTGTCACCTCTTTTCCACCTGCCTGGTAAGTTAGGTCGAATGCCAATTTGGCTGAGGCTTTGGGCAGCTGCTCCAGTCCCCCGCGCAACATCACACACACACACACACACACCCAAACCCAGCAGAAGCTTATCCCGACAGGGCCCGGCAGCTGACCACCCATCGGAGCCGTGCTCAACAACAGTCATGCATGCACTAACTCGGCTCCCAGCAAACCCCCAAAGCACGAAATCCAGATTAGAGGCAGTACCCATCCCAACCGTACATCCAAACCCTACGAGAGCCTGAATCAAGACCGAATGAAGGATACGACCATCCTGGGCGCAGAACTCGAAGGTGGAGTTAGCAAGTGGCAAGAACAAAGATCAGTGTATAGGGTTTAGGGTTTAGGGTTTAGGAAACTACAGGTGGGGAGTTTAGGTATATAAGGCTTCTATAGGGCTCCTATAAGGTATATAGACCTTCTATAAGGCTCCTATAACGGTAACTACCCACCTGAAAATGTCTTACTTGACTAAACCTTGAATCCTAAAGCTCGGCAGCTATAAGAAACTGAAAGAGGCACATGGTGTCTTATACCTCGAACATCCCTCAACCAACCCTTATGGTACCCATAATATATGGTAGAAGCCCAAACGTTGGAAACCCAATAGCCTCAATCCTTAAGAGCAGTAAACATAGGGAGTCCCAGCACCGTTTGTCCTTAATCCGGTTTCCAACTTTTTGGGGTTTACTGTAGAACCCTTACAGGAAGCTCTAAACCCTAAACCCGAAAAAAGGCACATGGCGCCTGTGAGAAAGGGAGCTGGGCGAGCGAGATGC